GTTGGAACCGGAGGAATGACTTTGAATTCAATTTGGATTTGTTTGACTTTAAATTGTCGTTCAACTTCAATTTACCCGATTTTCAAACCAGTCCTTTCGAGACATCAACTAAAAGTGACTACAATGAAGACTAGACATCACAAAATATTAATCAATTAACTGTAATGTTTCTGTAAGACTAAGATCAGAAAACTACAATCATTCAAATAATATATAGTTTTGTTTATTCATCAAATCAATTCAATCTTATTTCTTTGCTATTTTTTAAAAATCAATTTATTAATTTAACGTTCATATAATATTACAAGTGACACAATTAAGAAATGGTATTTTAATTTACATTTTTCACATACTGTATTGTATTATAAGATACGTCGAATTTAATATACTGTACTACATGTACTGTATTGTTAGAGATATGCTTTGATTACATTAAATATGGGTAATATACAGTATTTTAGAGTTTAAAAATTGAATATTTTTAATACATGAGTATAAAATTATACTATATAATGTATAATAATGTATAGTTGACTGTTTATAAGAATACTGAACCCTAAACTGTACAATTAAAAGTAACTCTTTTGCCTTTGCGTCTGGTGTACGTACTTTGTGGACCAACCCTAATATTAATACTGCACTGTATGAGAGAATTGTATTTACAAATTGCAATATTACTGTACAGTACAGTACAATACAATATTACAGTTAACCCCTTTCTAATATAGATTTGGGATGCTTTTCATAGGGATTACAAATCAATATATCGTTAATGAACTTATGCTTACATTCGTGATCACAATAATTATTTTTGAGACAATCACTGAATCTATAATAATGTGAATAGAAATGATGTAAATAATTGTCTTTCTCATTAATCATTTGATTGATTAACANTATTACAGTTAACCCCTTTCTAATATAGATTTGGGATGCTTTTCATAGGGATTACAAATCAATATATCGTTAATGAACTTATGCTTACATTCGTGATCACAATAATTATTTTTGAGACAATCACTGAATCTATAATAATGTGAATAGAAATGATGTAAATAATTGTCTTTTTCATTAATCATTTGATTGATTAACAAATGAAATTGATTGGCAGTAAAATTGGTGAGAGAATATTTGTGGCGCATAGAGTACTCGTAATACCAGAGGGGCGAATGAGGGGCACCACCACCACCACCACCACCACCTTCATTGGGTGCATTGGCCTGGGTTAAGTTGAAAAAGAACGTCTCGATGTCTTTGATTAATCCTAAACATAAGTATTAATACTGGTATAATCATCAAAAACTTTAATTCAAAAATACTTTTTAAAATATAGTTCCTTATTTACTGTACTGACATGTTTTCATTATTTATAATAATTAATGAATCTTTTAAAAATGAATACTAAATGAATAGTAAAATAATGATTTAATGAATAGTTGAGTTTTGGGGATACAGTAATAGAAAGCATGTGAAGTAAACATGTAAACATGTAAATACGAAACTTTATTTGTATGACTTGATTAGTGATTTAAGATTCATTGATTGAAGTTATGAATTATATTCAAACACTGTATCAAACTAGTGTAATACTGCATCTACTGTACATTCATTGACTATAATTAGTATAAAAAATAATAAATGATACCGTTATGAGTGACAGTTATGATGCGATAGGAGGGGTTGAATGTTTGGAAAGTGGTGAGACTGGGCGACAGTATTTCAAAGCCAATAGGTTTAGAGAAGTTGTGGTTAGAGTAGAGAACTCTGAACTCGTCCGCGTGGGTGTGACCGAAAAATTGGGCCACAATTGTGTCGCTAAACCTCTCGACTATCTCGAGATAGTTGTAAACCCAGGCCTGAGTGCACTCCCGGTTGTCGACGGGAACGTGACCTACAATATGTACAAAATCGCCCTCTTGTTCAGCTATGACCAGCTCTTTGATGAGCCATTTGAGTTGGTCGGCCGGATCTACTGAATCATAATACGTCCAAATGTTAAGTCGGGCGCAATAGTTGGTGTTTAATACGATTACACGAAAGCCTTTATTGATTACTATTGTATAATAACCGCCACTTTGATAAGTAGAGAGTGAGAGAGAGAGAAAGAGAAATAGAGATGACAGTGATATGATGTGATATGATATGATCAAATGGATGAGCGATCACTTTGATAAGCACTTACTAGCGGACTAACTGAAGGGCATCTTCGGGCAACCATTTGGTCCACTGTTGAGCCAACGCCTCGTAGAGCCATGAGATTGAGTGCGAGTTTTGAATGGATGGCGGCGGGAAACTAGTGATTACATTGTTTTACATTATACATTGTATAATATTTATATAATATACACATAAACTAAGTTATAGTAACAGGAGTATAATGTTTTCTTAAATTTATACTAAATACCAATTGATGGGAACGGCCTCATGGTTGCCAATTACGGGTACAATTCGACTACCATTGGTGTACTGATGCAGAAATTGTGCGATTATTTGCAAATGTGCTATATTTCTGGCGCGACTATACTGCCAGATATCATGAGCCACAATGTCTCCCGTCCAGTACCACAGATCAACACTTTTACTATTTTTGGAGATCTCTTTAAAAGCATTTTCAACCGTATGAATGGGAATATCGCAGGGGTAGGCGCCCCACGTGCCAGCGCTTACGTTTGCCTCGCCGGAGATCGTCGAGGAATTGTCGCTAAAGGGTATGCTTCGACAACATATGGGTTCATTACACTCAATATGACTTCCTATTTGATACTCCAGATCCATATGAATGTCCGTCAGGTGTAGTATCTGTCTTGTCGATTGGGACATTGCGTTCACACGATTGCCATTACGGGAATGGACTCTCATTTGAGAGATGTTGTCAACGCCAGGGATGTCTAGTCTCCAAAATAGATGTTCCGATCGGCCAATGAAGCACTGACTTCCTAGAAGTACTCCACAGACTTCTGTTGACTTGAGTTTGGAGTTTTGGCGTATGAAGTGAACCGTCTCTTTCATCTGCTCTATGAGTCCGACACAGACTCGCGGCGACGATAATTGCAGAATAAGACACACCTCATGGAAAGCCAGAGCCATTGTCTCCTTATTGATGACTCCATTTAGTATAAGAGTGGACAGGGAGTGACAACTGAGACAAGTGATGGCAGTGGACGCGCCCTCCCTCACGGCTGACAATAGCTTTTGGAGTGAAAACAATGTTTTACAAAGTGATAGCTAATTGAAATGTCAATTGTATTACATTTCGAAAGCCGACCACATCTAAAATCTTGAGTAAACTGTTGATAACAAATGAAAATCCGTTTCTTTGCATATACTTAATACTACTCTCACTTTGATTTTGTTGGCGATAAAAGTTGTTTATTTTAAATATAATTTTGGATAACCTTTTAATACTGTTTGTCTCAGAAAGACTTCGCGATTTAATTGGAAAATTTTTTACCATTAAATCTGAATACATTTTTTTGAAATTATTTTCGCAAACTATAATATGACTGAACAATATTAGAATGAAAATGATTTTGAGCAACATTTTATTTTAAATAACTAATTATATCATTTTAAAACAAAAAATAATTTTAAGTTTATTTTTATCTAATTAGACACTAATTTTTATCTAATTAGTGAACTGTTTATACACTCAGTAAACACCAAACTAATGCTACTATCTAATATTGTGCAAATTCTGTACAAAATACTGTACATAATTGTCATACAGTACAGTATATGCGGGTTTTAAAATTGTACAGTAATATTTATTCCTATATTTTTAAAAGTACATTGTAAAGTAGATAAGATTTTATAAGAGAATCAAGATTACAAATAGTGGTCATTTAATGGATACAATACTATTGTATTTCGGCCTTGAAACACAATGTACAAAAAATGACCCAGATAGTGTGCACTTGTTTAGGCGGGAGAGCCGATCAGGTGCCTAAGTTGGAATTCTACTCTACAGTAGTTGGTATAAATATTTTATAAAATAAATATAATGTTGGTTAATCTTTATAAAAGATAAATGAGTCGACACACATCACTCAATTTGGTTAACATTTTGTTCAATTAGTTTAATAGTAACACTAGTCTAATATTCATATTATGTCTATCTCTCATCGTTAATATGATATTAATTTTGTTATACTTTTGATATAACTTATTGTGTTTTAGATACTAAGGGATAAGTTGAAATGGATGTAATTGTATAAATGTTGGTTAAAATGGAAAATGTAAAAGAACATGGTGTAAAATTCATTTATTTCAATTGGTTAATGATTCCCATAAATAAAATGATGCCATTGTTTCTATTTCTGATGAAATAAATGAAAGGCCGGTTCACGTGGAAGTCTATTGAGTCCAACGAAAGCGATGAGAAGAGCATGAGTTCGGCGCCGGAAGCGGCCGACGCTTCTGTCCCCTCTTCGTTCACTTCAATCACAGATTTATGGATCAACTGATTATAAGACAGATAAACAGATAGTCAGACAACTAGATTAAGCAGTAATTAGTTGTTATATTCATTAAGATAACTCTCTGATTGTAATAAATATTGATAGGATGTGAACCTCAGAGACATGAAGTCCTTTGTGGCCATTAATGTTGGAAAAGTCGGCTTTTGAGGTGAAGATGGTATGAAGACCTAATTCCTTGAGTTTGGATTTCAACTTATAACTTGAATCGGTGCTGAATTTAGGTAACAAAATGTCACACTCCTGTTCAGTGGCATTCTTGATCTGTTTGTCCAGCTTCTCAATAGTCAACCAATTTAGTAATTTGTTGAGACTTTCTTTGTTTCCATTTTTAGGCAAAATTATGAAGAAATCCAAAGTTTTTCCGGAGTACGGTATGCCTAACAATTCGTAATTGTGTTTGTTGTCAATGTAATAATTGTACTTTTGTTTCTAGAAATCAATTGCATTTTTATAATAATTATTTTATCAATTCTTGGGCTAATGTTGGAGTTATTAACCGCACCTGTCTTTATTACAGTAATAATGATATTTTGATCATATAATATAACATTGATATATAAATTTAATATTATAATGATATTACAAAATTTACTTAAAATTAAAATCATTTATGAATTTATCTTCTATCTTATTAATAAGTTATTATTGATAATTAAAAAATAAATTAAAATGTTTCTTATAAATGTGGGCCTGATTTCCTGATTTAGTTGACATATGCGGGTAATTGAAAAAGTATGCCTTGATGACAGGCAGACCTACTGTACCTCCATCTTCATAGTGGAAACTTTGACAGGTTTTGTGCCAAAATTGTTAAACACTTCTAATTTAGTTTCTTTCGGTTCAAAGGGTCGAAGCCATTGGCCTTTGAAATGGACGGCATTGACCAGAAGTAGCAAACTTTTGGGATCAACAGCCTCCAAGAAGTTGCGGACTTTACCTTTAGTTTTATCGGCGATATAAGCATTGATTGTGTCGATTGTCTCCTTTGCGCCGAAATCTACAGAATCGATGTTCGCGGCATAGGATTTGGTGATGCGGTCGCGGAATAGATCTGTCATTTGAAAGCCTTGACTAACAAACAAGCCGTGAGCTATCAACACATTTGTTTGCATTGTATTCTTGAAGATGTGTTTCCATTCATTCATCACCTTATTGTCATCGAGGTGTTCATACTTCAAATATTTAGCCAGCTCTTGTCGAGAGCTTTGTTTACTTCCGTGGTATAAAATAGTAAGAATGGCTGATATACTAAGCGGTGAGATAACTATATTACTGTTGGTGTGATCCGTCCTGAATATGTGGGTCAACAGAGTTAGGCCCAAAGCATTGCTACTCTGTGGCGAACACTCTGTTTGATCATTCATTCGCATCACAAATATTACTAAAATCGGCACAAATGATACAAAACAAGACATCTTGTACTCAATTAATAATCAATTTGTAAAAGCTATCATTTTATTCATTCAGAGTACACTTATTTAATTAGATAATTACAAATTAAATATTTCTCTTTTAGCAATATTACCACTGTATGCATGACTTTGTTCTCACTTTTAATATTGAAAATACAGATGTTTTATCAAAATATGTATGCTATGTTACATGTATTTAAAACTAAATCTTATAAATTAATTAACAATTTAAATACTGTACTAAGCAATTACTAACAGTATTTATCACAATTATTGCCTTTGTAAAAACATGAGTTTTTGGATGCCTAGATATAATTTAGTACCTGTAAAGTGACATTAAATTAATTAATATTTACACACATGATTACTATTAATAAGATGTTTTTTTAACAAATGGCTGATGAGGACGAGGTCTGTGTTGTTCATAGAGGGCCACTAAATCTGGAGTAACCAATTGGGGTGATCTTTGTTTTCCATGACTGAGGTTCACATTATAAGGTGTGTTGGAATGGGTGGTCCATTGTCCAGATGGTGAGACCTTTGCATACTTGTGGTGTCGATGAAGGACAGGGGTTACCACTCGTGATCCATATTTAGGTGTATGAATGCTACCAACATATGAATGTTTGCTCCCATTGTGATCGACATTCATGTTTTGTTTATTTTCTGAATTTTGGGAATCGCTGGTAGGACTGTAAGGACCAACTCTAATGTCCAAAAATTCCTCGTCTTCAAGAGCCGCCGGATAATTGGTGTGAGAGTTCAGAGCATTGGTCACCGAATGAGAGTTGCGTTCAAATATGCGATGCCTTTTGGGCTCTTCGGCCGTCAAATACGTGTCTTCGTATGCATTGCGAGTTGCGATCACTTTCTGGAACTGCTTTTGAGGCACAAAAGTGTTATACCTATAGCTGCGGGCAATCATGGCGTGAGTGTCCCCTCTATTCTCATTGGACACTGAATTGTCTCGAGTAATAGCTTTATTGGTGAAACCAGTGAAGGGTCGCACCGACAGCACCGGCATCGCTCGGCCCTCAATTAGAGGTTGTGACATACCAGTCATACCTATGCTCTGATTTTTACGTAACAAAAAGCTTCTCAAATGAAAAGGTATGGAAGAGATTGAGGCTGACGTGACAGCCGTAGACTCATTGTTTGAAAGGCCAGTGCCATCGGTGCCCACAGATCTCAGTCTCTGTCCATAAGTGGGTCCTTCTCTCTGGAGTCCAACCACTGGTTCTATGGAAGAACTCGAGCCCACACTCGACCCAATCCTAACAGACGGTCTCATCTGATGTACAAAAGAGTGTCAAATAATATGATATTATATTATAAGTGTTATCTTATAATTACTGTCTATTCATATCAATCAGTGAATCAGTGAACACATACAATACAAATTAAATTAGATTATCATACAGTAGCGAAATTTATTGCTTATTACAGTTACCACTAGAATAAATATGCAATTATTTATAAAATTTATAATCTAAATTATATATAAATTTACCTGATAAGTAAATCGGTAATGTTTCTAATAGATAATTTAATTCACACCTTATTATCTCTTACTTGATAGTGAGTTATATTAAGAATCAAAAAATTATTAATTTTATAATTATTGATTGATTATTTGGTAAATGATTGGTGAATGTTTGAAAATATGTGATGAAAGATTACACACTTATAAGTTATAACAAACAAGTAAGTGATTTACCTAAACCTAAACTTATATTGGATTCAATTGATATCATTGAAATGTGCTTATTATACTGTATTACTGACATTACTGACAGTGATGTCTGATTACGCTGTAATTTACTGTTATACTGTACAGTGTATCACAAAAGCATTGTGAAAACCAGTACATTTCAAATTTGAATTGTTGAGATCATTTAGATTGATTGAGGATCATTATTACCCAGGCAAAACAAACTTGCAACTTATTTCACACAGCTTTTGTGATAAACTGTACAGTAGTTACTGTCATTGAATAAGACATAGTGTTTCAAATAGACCGCTCATTCAGTAACACAAACATACGATAATACGATATCATATCATATCATATGAGTGGTGTTGTGAATGGCTGTCACGTGATTCACTCGTTGCACTCAATGTCTCAGTTGTCAATAGTATTCACCAAGAGTCCAAATACAGTAATCTGCAGTCTGTCTGTCCGCACATTCATTCACTCATTGAACATATCATTTGGTTGACCACTGATGACCACTGATGACCGCTGATGGACACGAAATGTTGTGCCCAAGACCAACACTGCTCACACCCACGGCCACAACAAGTGCTCAATAATGACATCCTGTTGGATGTGTTTGCATACCTGCCGGTACACGACTTGGTGCAGATGACCAAGGTGTGCAAACAGTTCTCGCAAGTGGCTCACTATTATCTGCGCGCACAACCACTGCTCACCATTGGTTTGTGGGACCCTCTGACTCGTGCCAAAGAGATGGTGGTGTTGGGCCACACCTATAGCATGACCGGTGCCGACGTGTCCAAAGGAGTGGTCGTGAGCCGAGACATGGATTACTGCGACCTCACTGTTGGCCAATCGATGCAATACGTGACACATGCCCTCCACTGGTGTCCACTCGTGCGGGTGTTGTGTCTGAGACAGTGTCTCATTGACTCACAACTGGTGCGGCTATTGAGCAGTGAATGCAAGCAATTGGCGGCAATGGAGTTGACGCTAATCAGTGGCCTCTTGTCTAACCATCACAACCATCACAAGCATCGCAACGACAGCACTGACAGTGAGAGTGAGCGCACGTGTGAGGCGTTGGTTGAGCTCATCATTGGATCCATAACTCACTTATCCATTGACTACTATTGCGATAAAGACCTGCGAGTGATGAATGGATGCGACTATTTGAGTGAATCCAATGTCCAAGAGTTGCTCATCAGTGGCCGCATCGACGCATTGCCTCATTTGGTGCAGTGTCTGCCACCAACCCTACGGCGCCTCCACTTTGTCGTCGATCGCTATACAAATAGCCACCACTCGTACCACTCATTCACTACTCGAGCTGTCAAGTGGTTAGTGGAGGGAAATGGCGCTCATTTGACTCATCTTACGGTTGAGAGCTATTTGATAGACCGACAGACCCTCGAGACAATTGTGGACAATATGCGACAGTTGTGTGACTTGAGTGTCAAGTTCTTTGACAACGAAACCATTGCGATGACACTCATCTCCAGGTTAGCCCACAATCTGCAGAGTCTCCACAATTTACAACTCATTAACTGTATGTTTGCCGACAACTATCAAGTGGCGGACCCAGTGTTGGGCCAACTGCTAGGTCTGCACACACTATCACTCATGGACTCCAAGATAAGCGCCTCTTGTTTGTCACATTTGGTGCGAATGTTTCCTAATCTCAAGAGTCTGTCGTTTAATAAGCTGTTTGGCTGTCAGTGTAATAGCAATGCATTCAATAATAACAACGATTGCAGTGAATGTTATGCCAATTGTGTGCATATATTGAGCACAGGTTTAGGCGATCTACAAGTCTTACGACTTGCTAACTGTCCACTCGAGCCAATATTCATCGACTCTATGGTTGACTTTTGGCCACATTTGCATACATTTCATACACAACACATATACAGCCATTTCGGGCTTCAAGAGTATACTATATATGACTATTTGGTTGATAAATGTGTACACATTTGCAACTCTAGTACTCAAAGAGTAATGAATGTCAAAATGATAAGCAATTCTGTGATTCACATGAATACTGATGCCATCATTCCTAACAATTTGAAACTAAGCTATTGTATGAACCGATTGTAATCATTGCACTGATTGTCTCATTAGTTTGAATAAATATTTAAAATAAATCCACTACCGTAATAACTATATTTATAAGTTATAATAATCTACAATACAGTACAGAATATTGCATAATCCATAATCCGTAATACAGTAGAAATATAGTGTACAAAACTTGAGTAGTATATATCCAAACGACTTTAAATTGTAATAACTTTTTAATTTTATAAGTTAAAATTATGTTTAACATGTCAAATGATAGAGTGTTTATTAGTGTTCAATATGAAACCTTAGTTAATAAAATATCTATAATTGTATCCACAATAAAGCCGGTGACAAGGGATGACGACATTATTTTATATTCCAGTTTATGGGCGACATCATTATATTTTTGCAAAGATTTTGCCTTTATTTTTTATGGAACTAATTGTTCATTTATATAGGTTTATATAGGTTTATATAGGCGGTTTCTATCAAATGAATACACTGTTTTAGCCTATAAATATCTGAATTAATAAATTAGTTTAAAACTAATAGAAATGTTTTTATATTAAAGCAATAATAGTTTTGATATTAAAAGTATACTATTTATGCAGTAATTACAGTCTGCATGCTTTACGCATATCAAGCGATATAGCATAAGCCCGTCCATATAATGCACCCATTTTTCATAAGCAAGCATATGTATCTCGATTATATGAAAGAGGGACAATTATTTCTATGAGTAATATAGGATTAAGCTTTATTTAGAGCATGTCTCATAGTAAACCAATGCACAACGTTCTATAAAAATCTTAATCTTATATTACTCATAGAAATAATTGTCGCTGTTTCATATAATCGAGTCACATATGTAAACAGTCGCAACATTAAAACAATTAAATTATTGTATTTTCACTAAATTTTTTTATCAAAATGATATTAATTTTAAAGAATAAGATATAAATTACGTGATTATTAGTGTATTTTATCTAATAAACCAGAGCCTATAAAATGAAAATTATTATAAACTTAAAAATATCTGGAAAATTTAAAAAATGGAGTGAACGGAATGGAGGGTGACCAGAAATGTTTGGCCATTATTATGTTTGAAATACCTGTCCCATTTACTGGCCACAACATTGAGAAACATATTGCAAGTGTTTTATATTAAAATTTTTCTGTATTGGTACTAATTTCTAACAAATTAAATGATTGAGATATATAATACTTTTGTTTTGTATGATAAGTATACTTTGTATGTAATAAATGTTACGAGAAATGAATTTACTTGATTTGTCGGTGAGTTGTGTTGAGTGGACGGCACAGACGGCACAGACGGCGACGAATGCAGTGCTTTGGCCGCCGACTCATCGGTTTGGTCACCCATTGTGTGGTTGGAGTCGAGACTCATGTATGTCAGGCCTATCACTGCAACGATTGTCTTGTAATCAATGAATTGAATATTTGCACGTTTAGTACAATACTCACGAACTGTTATAAAAGCGATAACTAATATAAATACACATTTATTTAACTTGTCTGACATTTGACCCTAAATTGGTTACATTTACATCACATTTACAGCACTGAGTGAAATAAACATGTCTCACTATTGTTAAACACTTTGGCAGTTTAAAAAGCCTTGCATTCATTTGCTTAAAACTTAATTAAATATTTAATTGAAACAATGATTGCCATTGATTAGTGATTGGCATTCATTTGTTTTCAAAGTAGTATACACTGTATACTATATTATTGTTATATCAGTTAATCGAGAATTTCCTCAAACAGTGAAAAGTAGTGTCGACAACAGTATTGCATTTAATACTATTTGTGACCAATAGCTGTATATACCGGTAATAGCGGGGCTAAAATAAGTAACAATTAGTGTCAATCTGTTTCTATGAGCTAATTGTTTGCATTGCATTGCATTGTATGACAAACTATGGTATGGTATGGTATGGTATGGAACGCATGTGACGCACCATCGACTTTGCCGGTCAATGCTTACCACTGAACCAATGAACCACTGATTGTTATAAACTTGATCCACACTTCAATGCTTGTCACCATAAATGCACTCATTATTGTCTATTATTTCCAGTCCATTGTCTATTGTTTTCCAATTCATATCTCAATACTGTATTGCCAAATTAAGTACAGTACCTTTTTTTACTACAAATTTACAGTAGTTTGCTTTAGTATTATGAATAAGTTTTGCCAAAAATTTTATTTTTATGAACAAAAGTATTAATAATTTGGTAATACAAACATTATTCAAACACAGGTTCTACAATATTCTATATTATTGGTGTTATTGGTATTGGATTTGGTTAACAAGAACCAGAGTAAATTACAATTATAATTACACCTTTTCACCTGTAAACTGTACAGACAAAAATCTTTTAGCTTTAAAATTTTTAAATTAAAAAGCAATTGTTTTCAAAGAATATTCTTATATTTTAGGTGAGATTAAAATGAATTTGGCTAACATTGTTTACAATTATTGTTTAAATATTTTATAGTATAGGACCTATAGGTGTGTACAGTATTACCTACCTATGTAAGGCTATTTATTAAACTTAACGGACAATAGTTGTGTTAAAAAAATAGAAAACAAAAATAACTTTATTTTCTAACAAATATCCCATAAATGTTTAAAATAAAGTTATCTCTATGAAGTTTATACTTTTAGATAAATTGTAGTTTAACTCACAAATCAGTATGTATTGTACAGCAGTTAAGTTCTGTAAGAAGTACCAGTATACTATTGAAATTAGCAAATGGCTGATTAAAAAAACTGTATTTCTTGTATTTTTAGGCATTTTTCTTTAAATGTTTAAAAATTATTTGTTGAAAGTGAATGAAAGCATTGTATATAAACTAGAATAGATTTATTAAAGATATATTTTATTTTAAATTATATTTAATAATATATTATAAGAAGTCATAATAAATATAAATGAATTAATAGTTATACAATTAATAAGCACATACAATACTGTATAATAAATAGGTAACGGTCACTGTATAGATAATATGATACATATATGATAATGGACAAAATATGCAAATTGTAATAATTTGGTAATAAATGAATGAATGAATAAAATTGGATTAAATAGTGAATAAAGTTAATTATCTGTCACTTTAGAAGCGGTGTCTATTGAAAGGATGGGTTGTATTAAGTGGTGATTCATTTTGATGACATCCAACAACTGATGAGGAATGTGGTCAAAGTGTGGGTTCTTCCACATGGACTTGAATATGATGGCCAACCTGTGAGTGTAAAGGGTATCGGAGCGACCGAACCGAATGGGCATTCGGAGGCATTGGTCGCAGAATTTCATCCGTGAGTTGATCTTTGATTGGGTGTCACACTCAAGAAGACACGTCTCATCCATGTCTTGGCCGCAGACATCGATCACCGTTGCGTTCAAACACAACAACACAACGATTATACAAAATAAGACCATTTGCTTCAATGATATATCAAATGTGTATGAAATACAATACAAATGAAACTTTGTTTAATATTATATTAACTGTGTTTTGAATGTTATATAATATGTTATATTTAGCCAAAAATACAGAGGACTTAATGTGTTAAATGAATGTCATTCCTATGAATTCATTCGTATTTCTTATTACTCTAAGCAGTAATAGACTGATAGACTGCTTCATATTAAAGCAATTTTATAATTTTAATTACTACTGAAAACAATTACTTTTTATTTGCTTTAATTAATTACAATATGAACTAATCGTACAGAATATGGTTCACAATATCCACTAATATCTGAAGGCGTCGTTGTTTTTACAATTAATGCTAAACATTATATGACATGTTTTTGCAAGAATTATACATTTATCCTTTCATCAAAATTAAACATTCAAACATTTTTAGTTAAATGTTTTTATTATGCAATAGTAGGCACTTTTCACATCTAAATTAGTAATACAGTAAAAACAGTAGGTTTGACGCATTCATATATTTTTGTTTGTTTTGATTGCATGAGAAATACAGTCTTATGAACACATGTCTCTCTAATGAATAGATTAATAGAAATTATTTGTAGAAAAATCATTGTTAAAATTAGATTACACATTAAATTTGAAATAAAATAAATCTTTAGACACAGTGATGATTTAAAGGTATTTATTAGATCTTAAAACTCGATACTTTGGGTCCAAAATGGAGCCATCATCAAGAGTTGTAACAAATTATTAAATTAAATGAATTTAAAGATTATTGACTTTTAAAACTAAAGAATATATAAATCACGAGATTTTATAGATAACTAAATTCCAGAATTCATTTAATTATATTAAACATAATTTTACTAACATGTAAATTTATCATTGATTAACCCACCTGGAACAGTTAAGGGCGCCAGGAGGCAAGGGTCGTCGTGCAACAGTAGCCTAACATGCGATGCCCAGACTTGATGTCAATTTTGCGACCAATCCATATACTGCTGGTGCTCTGCGCCCACCCCATCCCGGGCATCCCGGGCACACCCGAGGTGGGCACCCTATGCGGTAATGCGTTTGCGCAAAATTTGACCTGTCTCATCAACGAAAGTGACAGCTACGCTGTGGACACCCTATGCACTACGTTTCTAATGTTGGTTGGCTCGAGTGGAATGTTACCAGGTTAAGTTAAGTAGTTAACAATCGTATGAACCGATTAGCGCCATGGTAATACTAATATAATAATATGAATGTAATAAGCAAAATAATGCTATTTTTGTTATGAATAAGGTTAAATATTTATTTTTTATAATATTTATAGTTTATTAATTTAATTGAATGAGTACTTTATAGTTATAATTGGTTCGTATATTGAAAATAATTTAGATATAACTAATTTAGATTTACACCTGTTTTGTTTTAAACATGTTAAAATTTTTCATTTATAAGTTGAATACTATTTTAATACATGTATTTAAAATATCTATATAATAATTATTTGAACTTAATTATTATTTCTATTGGATAGTTGAGATAAGTATTTAACAAATATCTTTATAAATTTTACTCTAAATTATTATGTAGACAAAATTATTATTCTTAATCAAAATCTAATCATATATTTATAAGGATTTATTAAAATACAACATTTTCCTGTGCAACGTACGCATATAAACCAAATTAGCATGGTAATCGAAATATCAAGTTATCGAAATATATATAATTAATCTACTTAATTTTTATAAATTATTTTTAACATTAAAAATTTACTTTATTCAAATATAAATCATATTATTACAAACGGTGCACTGTACAGTGCACATGCTCATTATAATGGTCACCAATCTACTTTTGTAATACGCCTATAACAATTGGTCCTAGCAGAAATTCAAAGTATTGAAAGTCTGGAAATTGTCCGTAGGTTATACCGTAGGCCCACTGGTATACGAATACGAGATAATCTGTGCCCAAACTTTCCCGGATATTATCGGCCACGCTACCGTAGCAATTTTTGCCGGTGTTGAACCTGGTCATATTGAACTCGGTCAGACTCAGGCACGACTGGTGTGTAGTCTCGAAGTCATTGGTGGCGTTAATAAAGTGTTGCACAATTAGGGGCACAGTCTGATTGACCCAGGTCTCGTTCAGATTGCGAACCATTATGTCGGTTGGCTTAGACTCGCGCGCTAGTTTCACCGATCGTAATATCAGTTGACCCTGGTCAATATAAAGTAATTAGTTTCTGATAGACTATATAATATAGAATCTATATTATAGATATTATACATTATACAGTATACATTTTATATTAACGCAATTAAATATGTAATTTGTACATGTATGTAATTTTATTATATTTAAGTAAAATGTGTTAATATACAATTACATATGTATAATGTTTGTTATATTTACCGCGTCACTAATTTTGGCATTAGGTATGATGGCGTTTTGTATCTTGGTCGTTTTGTGGCCCCCATTAAACATGGTCTCACCGGTAGGATTATATGACACCACCGATTGAAGTAATAGTGTGACAATTATTGCGTAAAAATACATGACTGACAAAAAATTACTATAATAATATACTATATTAAATAAGTTTATTAATTAACTAACATTTACTTTCTATGTGTTTCACTTTATATAGTTTAGGTTTTTGGTACATTATGAACTTGATATACATGTACAGTGTGTTTCACCATCAGCGGGTAAGGGTTCAGGCTCATATCTCGAAAACTAAATTAGATAGCAAGGTACTGTCGACGGTTTCTAAAACTAGAAAGTATAGCAAATTTTTTGACATACTGATCACCCAGGTGCGACTTATATTAATGTTATTTCTATGGACACTCTTGCAGACATGAGTTACTGTATGAACAAAATGAGCAAGATAATTACAATCTATAGCAAATTTATAGAGGAAGGTATGAA